CCACTTCCATTGCGGCGCCGCAGGCGCCGCTTCACCTTTTTCCCCTGTGCTTCCTTCTTCACTTTTTAACTGTTCTTCTTCATCTTCAACTCTTCGATGTCTTGCAAGTCGCTCTCGGGGACCCACGAGTCAAAGTTTTTATCGTACCCGGCCCAACGCACCAGGTACTGCAGATCGCGGCCTTTGCGTCCTCGGCGATCCAAAATTCGCTCGATTCTGTAAACCGTATCTGAGGTAGGGGGTGTGATTCGCTGAAGCTCGTGGCCGTAGAAGCGACCGACGATAGACTCGCCGTTTAGATCCGTCAGCGTGTACATGTGAACTGGAGAGAATGGAATGACCTTAGCGACTTTGTATATCTGCCTCGAAAACTTCGCCGTGTATCCCTTCTCGGTGAATTCCTTAGTTAGCGAAATGCGAACGAATTGGCCGGGTTTGAAGACTGGGGCGGTCGCCGCTGCTTTGCCGCCGCTGTTGCTGACCCGTCGGTTTGAGTCGCCTCGCTCGTCGTTGGCCTTCTTAAGAGCCCGTTGACGTCGTAGCAGTTGTGGAGCTGTATGTCGCAGGTAGATTGTTGACCAGATTTTGAAGACATCCTTCTCTGTGACATCAGCAGGTGGCATGCCCGTGGCGCCGTGAATAGTGTGGTTGTAGTTGGACACGATTTGCGACAGGGGCTCGATCCATCGCCAGCTGTTTGTGTAGTCAAAGTGTTTCCATAGTGGCGTTTTTAATGTCCTGTTGACGATTTCAGCCATGGCAGCTTTCCCACGATTTTCCAGAGAACGAAATGAAACACCCCATTTTCGGAAAACTTTAGACACCTCCCGGTTGCAGAATTCCGTGCCCTTGTCACTTTGAACCAACCTGACACCTCTCCCAGCCCGGGTAAAGTGTTTTTCGAATACATCGGCAACCTCCCTGCCTGTTTTCGTTCTCAGAGGGTACATCCAGACATAACGACTGAGACAGCAAACCATGGTGAGAAAATAATTGAAGCCATCGTTGTAGGAGTTTAATTTTCTCATGTCATTAAGATCAACTTCATACACATCATACAACCCCTTTATGTTATAAAAATTCAATGGAAAATTCTTGCGAGCTGGCTTATAGCGTGTATAAATTTCCTGACTCAAAAGCCACGCATGCACCTCCGCAGGCGTGATTCCACGCGTGCGGGCCACTCTCTTTAAATTTGCAACAGAAGAATACGCAGATGGATTTTTTAAATCATAGTATATTTCACACATTTCTCGATCGACAAACTGTCTTCGACTGTCCTCCTCGCCGTCGTCGTGGTCACCGCTCCTGCTGCTGCTGCTTCGTCGAACGATCTTCCTCCCCCGCGGCGGGCGGGCGCCAGCGGCGGCGCGGGCGCCAGCGGCGGCGCGGGCGCCGGCGCCGGCGGCGGCGCTGGCGTTACCCGCAGTTGACGCTTGCACAGCAGAACCACGCCCGGCCCCATTTTGGAGACCGATGCACGCCCATCTCGGGAATGTGCAAGCTCGGTGAATTCGATGCGGTGTCTTTGCAAATGAGGTCATCATGGCATCTACTTTTTGGTCTTTCGAGGGCGTCTCTCTAGCTGCAATGGCGACCACACCACTTCGCGACCGCGCAGGTGTCGAATTTTAGGAGACGTGTGCGGCGACCTACGAATGCAGGCGGTCGCGGGGGATCCGATCGGAGTCGAGAAAGCGCTCGGCGATACGTCCTCACCCACGCCGCGCCAGGGCGTGACTGCGTGTGGCTGTTCGCCTTCATCCATCTCCATGCGCGAGGCTTGCAGGATACTGTCGTTGATTGACGTTAGCTGCTGACTCTGATTCGTCACGTGTTCTCCAATGAGATCGAGCATTGTCTCGAGGGAAACAGAGCGGGCATCTTCTTCCGCGTCTTCATGATGCGGCAACGCGAATGCAGCCGGGATTTCATCGCGCTCATAATTGTAGTCTGAAGACATGCGATGAGCGAATACGGGTGCACCGTGAATG